GGGAGACATGTTGATGTTTGTGTCGTTGACGAGAACGGCGCCTCTGCTAAGAAAAGGTCAGCTTGGGGATGCGCCGGAGAACGAACCGAATTGACGGAGAGGGACAACAACGGGGGAGACAAGGTCGAAGCGCGAACAAAGGTTTCGCAGACATGATCAACAGTGCCTAGGGACATTGATGAATAAAGTTTTGGGTTTATGAACCTACTGTGAAGCTACCACCGACTTCTGCGCGACAGGACCCTCGTTTGGGGGTATCAGGGCAGTATTGAAGGAAGCTCGCTGCGAGAGAGCATCGAGGTCTTCTGGGTTTGTTGGTAGCAGGTATTCGATGCGATGCGTAGCCGTCCAGTGGGCCAGATGAGGCTGGCCAATGGCCAGGGAAATGGAAGGCTCGGCCCAGGTGTGGCTCAGACTGGGGCTGGGAATGGCACTGGTACTAGTCGTGTCGGCTTGGTCATCATAGGCTTTGGCCTGTTGTTTGGCTTTGTTCTGCCAGGGCTGTACGCTAACAAGATATCGAACAGCGTCTGTATGGAGCCTAGCGCCAGAGTCAGGCAAGAGGCGATTAGTGTCGCCTGCGTTTCGGTGTGGCCTCATGGCTGTGGTAGCTCATGGAGCTTGCAAGACTTGCTTTACATCAGAAGTTGCATGGAGATGTTCTCTTTCTAATATACAGCAGAAAGATCTCATGTCTTTTGATATGCTCTAGCTCAATCTGGAATTTGAGGCACTTCGTAATGAAAGAGGTAGCTAGTTGCCTGTCTGGCTATCAAATGCCTTCTACTGAAGACAGGGCGTGGTGGGGTCTTCACCGAGATGCTGGGTGATGAAGGGCCTCCTGACAACGCTGAACTGTTTTCCAAGACTAACTTCCTGCTCCTAGTGCGGGATAACCTAGTCTCCAAAAATTCCACGGCAAGCCTTGAAATTTGCTGTCAATTGACGACTTCATTCACTCCATCCTCTTGACAATTCGCAAGCTGGCCGTGATACTTGCCCCGCTAAGCTCCGCCGTGCGACGCCACACCTTCAGCCACACACAGCTTAGCTCACCGCCCCGGTTTTCGCCAGGCTGCTCGAGCTGGCGTCAACATCGTCTTGCCTCAGCACCGTCACCAACGCCAGAGCCCCAAGAGCTTCCATCACCCTCCATCCCTCGCCCTCGTCGACTTCACCACCACAAAGCCCGACCCTCCACGATACCCTGACGATACAACCACCCGTACACATTCCCACGAAAACTAGTACAACCTCGCCGTACATTCGCTATGGATCGCTTCAGGAGTATGCTCCAGTCTGGTGGCATGGGAGGCCTGGGCTCCCAACCCGGAAGTGTAAGAGGTCGCCGCTGCCATGACAATGCAAGATCGTGGCTTCTGTCGCTACTCTTACTGACATATGCACCCCAGGATAACACACAGCTTATCGACAACTCCGAGACCGTCTACATCTCCTCACTCGCCCTCCTTAAGATGCTCCGTCATGGTCGCGCCGGTGTCCCCATGGAAGTCATGGGCCTGATGCTAGGCGAGTTCGTCGATGATTTCACAGTGCGTGTTGTGGACGTCTTCGCCATGCCGCAAAGCGGTACCGGTGTCTCCGTCGAGGCGGTCGACCCCGTATTCCAGATGAAGATGATGGACATGCTGCGACAAACGGGAAGGTAAGAACCACCGAATGCGCTTGTGCCCCCGTCGAAGCCCCCCCGCTCACATCACCATGCAGGCCCGAATCCGTTGTTGGCTGGTACCACTCGCACCCCGGCTTTGGCTGCTGGCTCTCCTCCGTCGATATCAACACGCAGCAGTCGTTTGAGCAGCTTACCCCGCGCGCCGTCGCCGTCGTCGTCGATCCTATTCAGTCCGTCAAGGGCAAGGTCGTCATTGACGCCTTCCGCCTCATCAACCCCCAGTCTCTGATGCTCGGCCAAGAGCCACGCCAGAGCACGAGCAACCTGGGACACCTCAACAAGCCCTCGATCCAAGCCCTCATCCACGGCCTCAACAGGCACTACTACTCGATCGGCATCAACTACCGCAAGACGGCTTTGGAAGAGAACATGCTCATGAACCTGCACAAGCACGTTTGGACTGAGGCGCTGCAGATGGACGACTTCAGGGTGGAGGGCTGCAACAACAAGGACAGGCTGGAGCAGCTCGTCAGCTTGGCCGAGGGCTACCAGAAACGCGTCAAGGAGGAGACTGAGTTGACTAAGGACCAGCTCAAGACTCGCTACGTCGGCAAGCTCGACCCGAAGAAGCACTTGGAGGATGTCGGCCAGCAGATTATTGAGGACAACATTGTCTCGGTCAACCGCCAGATGATCGACAAGGAGGCTACGTTGCCGAGGCCTAGCGAGGCCGGCGCGAGCGGACGGTCGACAGAGGATCGTATGGACGTGGAGGAGGAGCTGTAGACGGGGTCCGGGGGCTGATTCATGACATAGACATGCCTTCTCGACGAGATACCAGGACTTTGCCTACTGTATGATTAGGCGTTGGGGTGGGCTGGACAGCACGGGGTAGAAAACCATGGAATGGAGTCCCCGCCATGCATGTACAGGTATCAAGGTAGCTTTCAGAAGACTGATAGGCTGCTTTTCCACAACGCGTCAAGGACTCAACGATGTGTGTTCAGGCAAAGGTTGAACAAAGAGAACGGCTAGTATCCGTTGCAGAACACCCTGGTGTGGCCGGTTTACAGTCTTTGTTCCCTTCGAAGAGCCTCACTGGCACACGGCATTGCCTGTCAGACAAGGTCTTGTTCACAGTGCAAGTCTTCACAAGCGGTCTGTTTGGCCCGGTGCGATGAGCGTAAATACGTCTCATTCGCAGGCAAGTCTTCTTCATGCCGTCTCCCCAAAGAACATTCGCCCCCCTTCTAAGAGCATACTCAATCAATACTTGCAGAGTAAGGCAGTGACCAGCGTCAGCCACACGCTATGAAAACCTCTTTCGTGAAGCGACTGTCTTCCTGGTTCCTCCAGCTCTGTGATAGCAAGTCAACCTCTTCCCAGCAGACACGCAGCCGACCTGCTAACCTCGTTATCTCTAGCCCGATCCTGATATCCGCCTCTTCGGGCCCCTGGACTCCCCAAGGCATTCACCCAAGGCCTGTCCCTATTTTTTCAGCTGGCGCTGGAAGTCTCGGGGTCACTGTACCACTTCGACCTTCACGGACCGCACCTCCTGTTCCTGTTCGCACGAAAGCCTACCTCGATAAACCCCTCCCTCGCCTGCCCAGCACATGTGGTCGCTGCCTCATGCCGTTCTCAACGGAGGGAATGCCCTCGACTGTCCTTGATGAGCTGCTCAATCGCCTCGGTCGGCTCTTGAGCCACGTCTCCTACAGCGTTCGAGGTCTCGCTGCTCTCTCCTTCTACGGCCTGACCACACGCTTCCCCTCGCAGGTCAGTATTTCATGCCCTCTGTATGCCCGTGACGTGGTTAAATGCTGGGCTGCCGCCCAAGGCATGATTGTTCATCCTTCGTTTCCAGACGCCTTTGGCGTGCCTCTTTCAGATGGATCCGTCCGCAAAGTGAGGCTGCAATTCGTCGATGCCGGCGCACCACTCGACTGGATCGCCATGGGACCGGCAGGAACGCGCATCGCAAGCATGCCGGCGCTGCTAGACACTTTGGCAGAAAGATACATGGACCCAAGGGTCCCTGCCAAGGCCGTGAGCACCCTTGGCAGGGACATTTTCTGGCTGTTGCAGAGGATGGCCGAAGACACAACTCCGGAGCAGATGGTCACGGTGGAGAGGGTGCCAAATGTACTGAAGGCCGATTTTTGGAGTTTGTTCACCTTCACACATTTTGGCGCGGATCAGCTCCTATACGATGCTGGCTTCGGGAAGCTCATTGCCGAGCTTGAGAGGCCTGTGAGTGAGACTCACGATTCACTGCTCGATGAGAGTCAAATTGGCATTGACGGCGACCCTGAAAATTGGCATGATGACATGGACGCAGGGCTGGTCGAGTCGATGATCGGCTCAGGGCGCCCTGTTCTGCCTTTGCGTCGCAAGAACTCCCGATACTTTGAAAGGTTGTCGGGCACGCGGCCTGCAACTGTTGAGCTGGCGTTTGTCCAGTCGCCCAGCTTGTCAACTCGCGATCATCAGTCGCCAATCAGTGCCGCTGAGCTAGACCAGATGGCAGAGCAGGGCATCATGTTCTGCCCGGTGGATCAGAGGAACTGGTGAGTCGATTCGAAGGCCAACTTTCATGTTTTTCCTTCTGCCCATCTACCTACCATGAGGTACCTTACTGTAGCCGATCTAGGCCGTCTCCTTTGTCCTGTTATGCGGTCTTGAACAAGCCTCATCCTGCGGTGTTCGTTTGCCATGGCTGGTCCGTGACTTATGACTAATTGTTCTAACTTGTAGATCTTACCTTCGAAATTGAACATGATCGCACATATAATCAATGTCGTGACAGCAACGAGCCATACCGTCACATTTGACAGTCGCTCATTTCCAAACGGACGGGACCATCACCAAAGTCACCATGGCTCACCCCGTCTTTAATCATTAACCTGCATGACCCTAAACCATGTCAGGCCCAGGTCGTCACATCGCACGGGCTGCCTCGTCTAGCATCACAGGGTATGCAATGCCTGATTGGTCGACATGCACCTCGCGAACCAACCGCGACCTCCTGTGTTGGTCGCTGGCCTTGGCGGTCCTGAGTTCGAGCACTCCTGACCTGATATGCCGCGTGAACCAGAGCGATTTATCAACCCAGCAGTCCCCAAAATGGGGCATCCGGTGTTCCTTAGTTCTTTCCAAAATAACCTCCCGCCATGCTCGCACAGGTGACACCACCCCCGGTCGTGGGTGCGAGGCAAGTCACTGCCGGGGAAACGAGGACAATTATACGGAAGATCACAGGCCCACCGCGGACCCTGACATCTCAAGATTGCGCCGTTACCTCGAGAGGGTACTGTGAGAAATGGGCTGTTGCGCTCTACACGAGATGGACGGCGCCGTCAGGTTGTCCAACGATTGTCACGCCGTCGCCGGATCTGACGTACTTTGAAGACTGCGGGCTTCCCAACCACATGCCCGTTTTCGTGAACGGAGGATACTACTCGCCGGGAATATGCCCGGAAAGCTACTCCATCGGCTGCCTGGCGGGTCCCATTGACGCGCAGGTCAACGGCGAACCCGTTGACGAGAACGAGACTGTAGGGTTCTGTGTTCCAACGTGAGTCACGTTCACCACTCGATAACCGTGATCAAAAAACTGATAAACAGGCACACATCTGCAGGAGCTATCGATGTGTCTCAAGTAACGGTGGCACGTATCATGCGACTCGATCAAGGTCCACAGCGTTGGCGTACCAGATTCGCTGGCAGTCCAGCGACCTCATCAACCTTCCGGAGCATCCCATGGCGGGATCCAACTTCGACCCCAACATCGAGACCATAACCACCCCAGAGATAGAGTCATTGTCCACGTCGGAGACTTCGTTGTCGCCCGGTTCCTCATCTCAGCCATCGCCCTCGAACTCCCAGCCAACACGTTCGCCCTTGCAATCCTCAGAGGGCGACGCCGCTCAAAGGCCTCCTGTTCTTATCATCGTTCCCGTGGTCATTGGTACCGTCATCCTTCTCGCAGTCGTGGGTTTCTTCTGGTTTTGGAAGATCCGTCGCCGGCGCCGGAGACGTGAACAGGAAGGCCAGCAAACAAGCGAGGCAACTGTCAACCACATTGAAGGAGGGGCTTGGAATGGCCAAGGTCCTGGCCCTGGGCTCGCAGAACTCCCAGCCATCTCAAAACCGGTAGAAAAGGACGATGATAGCTTTTTCGTCAGGCCGCCAGTTGAGATGGACGCTACGCAAACCACAATGCCGAGTGACGCGCCAACAGTGCACTCGCCTAACCAGTCGAAAGTTGCGAGAGACTGCGCGCTCGATACAGTCTCTCCGTTGTCCGAGCTACGGCTTGGAATCGGGTACGAGTTGGACGACGGAGATCGGGGTGTGTCCACTGTGACGCCTTCTATAACAAAACGAGAGAGTGGCGATGCCTGGGAGCGGCAGGAGCTGATACGAAGACAGTGTGAGTTGGAGGAGCGGAGAGCAAGGCTGGAAGAGCTTGAAGCCATCGAGAAGGAGCAAGCAGCGATTCGGCGGAGGTTGTCGGCGCTGTGAGGGGCATCACAGGGTCTTTTGATAAGAAATCGAGTGGCGATACAGGCGGGGTCACCACACCCTGACAACCTAGCTCGGGATTTCATTTAGAGCTTAACCGAGGACGTACAGACAAAGATACAAGGAGAGGGGACGGAATCGAGACGAAGGATAATGTGGATCAGGAAATGTTGCATTCAGTAGCTAATATTTGCAACAATTTGGCCCATTGCATGTAGTTTCCGCCGCCTTTCGTGACCGGAGATAAATCAGAATTACCATACAGTCCCCATACAGCCCATCAGGCTTCTACACCATAAACAGACAACGTCCGCTGACATGGTGAATACATCTAATCAGCGACCACGGCATCATCCTTCATGTCTGGCACCCACCCCTTCGGCCTCTCAGACCCACGTATCGCAATTCCGTACCCCAGCTTCTCCACCTTGTGCACCGACTGTCTCATGGCCTCCATCTTGTTTCTGTACGTACGGTCGTGAATCTCAGGTAGTATTTCAAACGCCGAGCTCAATTCGTGAAAGTCCATCAGGATATCTCGCTTGCCCTCGTCCTGGCCCGCCAACCGTCCTTTCTGTGCCGTAGTCACGGTCGCGAAACGCATCATCTCGCCAAAGAGGTCGAAGATGCCGTAGAGATAGTCGTCCTCGGTCAGCTCAATAGCAGCCGGCACAGAAGCGCCAGCCTCCTCCATGGTAATGAGGGTTTGGTGTTGCAGGTAATGCGCAAAGGAGAGAGCCTCGACGAGCTCCTCGAGGCCGCGGAGGGTGGAGGCGTAGCGGTGGCGGTTGAGAGGGGTCAGGTGTGGCTCTAGGGGTGTAAGAAGATCCTTGATCTCGGACATGCGGGTATCGATCTCGTCCTGAGTACGTTTGGGCAAATCGCCTAGATTGTTTACCCTGTGAAGTGTGAGTCCCATTGAAAAGAAGGGGTTGTAAGTGAGAGACGGCGTACCTCTGGCAAGCGAAAATTCTATCACATGTCAGCTTGAGGACAGAATATTCTCATCCAAGGGGCTTTACATCTTCTTGCTCAAGGCAGTAACATCCCGGGACGCCTTGACGATGCGCTCCTTGCGATCATGATGCTCATCAAGCTCATTGCGAAATTCCATGAACATGGGCGTGAAGCGTGACTCGGCGATGGCGGGGCCCGGCTTGCCACCGTCCTTGGACCGCATGTTGCCGTCACGATCTCTCTTAGACATGTCGACGATACTGAGGCAGGCAGAAAGCTTGATCTTGATGATGTCTTGACGTCAAAGAGGACATTTCAAGTGAGGCCCCGTCAGTGAGCCTCTCGTGTTGTGGAGTTTGACGTTCAGTGTGGGGCAGTAATGATCAGCCTGCAGCTGCAAGGGCGACGATGTACATGGACTGCTGACTCATCAAGTGAACACGACGCCGTTGTCGAGTCTCGGTATCGCAGGACGTCGAAGGACAGACAGATACACTCCACGATCGACAAATCTCAATTCGTGGTACATAATGCCGTTGGCTTGGCAATGCGAATGAGAAATAGCCATTCAGGAGTAGTCCAAGTCGGAGCTGTCGCACCGTCATTCACCATGGCCTCTCTCTTCCGGCCCCTCCCCCTTTTTACAGCCGCCGCTCTCCTCCGCGCCGTGCTGCTCGTCTACGGTCTCTGGCAAGACGCCAACTCGCCGTTCAAGTACACAGACATTGACTATCTTGTCTTCACCGACGCTGCCCGCTTCACTCAGCGCGGCGCCTCCCCTTACGACCGTGAGACCTACCGGTACACGCCTCTTCTCGCATGGCTACTCCTCCCTACGGCCTGGAATGAAACCCTCGGTCCGGCTTGGTTCTCATTCGGAAAGGTGATATTTGCTGCTGCGGATCTCTTGGCAGGATGGCTGATCGTGCGCGTTCTCCGCGGCACTCATGGCATGGAGGAGGCGAGAGCGCTCAAGTTTGCCAGCATTTGGCTGCTGAACCCCATGGTTGCCACGATCAGCACGCGCGGGAGTTCTGAAGGTCTTTTGGGTGTCCTCGTGATGGCTCTCTTGTGGGCGGTGCTGGGAAGGAGAACTGCGCTGGCTGGCGTGTTGCTCGGCTTTGGCGTGCATTTCAAGATTTACCCCTTCATCTATGCACCGGCCATCATTTGGTGGATGGATGACGAGAATCTGGGCCGAGCCAAGAAGCCTGTCTCTGGACAGTCTGCTTCTGATGTGGCCCGGCGTTTCTTCAGTCCACAGCGGGTAAAATTGACCATCATCAGCTTGGCCACGTTCATGGGCTTGAACATCCTGATGTACTCCATGTAAGCTCTCGACGCTCTGACGAAGATGAGCCACAACTGACAGTTCGCAGATATGGCAGTCCGTTTCTGGTGCACACGTTTTTCCACCACGTCACGCGGATCGACCACCGTCACAACTTCAGCCCTTACAACATCCTACTCTACCTGACTTCAGCCTTTCCCTCCGCCTCTTCCCTGCAGATCGAGTCCGTGGCTTTCCTGCCGCAAATTCTTCTGTCAACCATTCTGATCCCTGTGGTCGTTGCGAAGAAGGATCTTGCGGCGTCCATGATGGCGCAGACGTTCGCCTTTGTGACCTTCAACAAGGTCTGCACAAGCCAGGTATGTCACGATCGCCACAATGCGCCCCGAGGCCTTGCTAACCTGCGGCAGTACTTTTTATGGTACATGGTCTTCCTGCCCATCTACCTCCCCAACTCTTCTTTCCTCAAGAACCCTGCGCTAGGCGTGTCGGCACTGGCTCTCTGGGTCGTCACCCAAGGAGCGTGGCTTCAGCAGGGATTCCAGCTGGAATTCAACGGCGTCAGCACGTTCTTCCTGGCTTATGGGCCTCTACCGTGGGATTCTTCCTCGTGAACTGCTGGATTTTGGGCATCATGATTAGCGACGGAGCTCAGGCGGTTCCTCTTCTGCAGGCCAAGGTGGCCAAGGCGCCCAAGTTGGCGACGTAGAACGTGAAATGCATGGTGGCCGAATCGCCGTATCAGAATAAAATCATTAGGCTGCCCGATCGAATGATGAGCTCATTGAATCGCTCAACTGATGGTTGTGTTCGGGTGCCCCCCCCCCCTTGCACGACAGTGAGCTCCGCTAAACACGTGAACAGGCGTCAGTTTCCTGCTGACGCCAAACACGACCGCGACCCTCCACTTCCCCACCAATCGCACTGTCAGCGTAACACGAAGCGCAACACGTCACTGGCCCTGCCGCTGGAAATCCCACTGCGCATCATTTTGCGGTGCACTTGGGCTGCCCATCATGTGGCTCTTGGAGCAGGAAAATGTCTTCGAGGGTATGGTGTTCAGCTGAAACCCCCAAAGTACGATGGGAGTGGACCCGACTGACAATCGCGCAAACAGGCCGACAGCTCTGGCTTCGCCCCGGCAAGCTCTACCTCTTTGGCCGCACAGCCTCGGAACGTAAGCACGAGGACTCGGTATGGATCAATAGTGACTGATGTGCGATGCAGCGGGCCAGCTTGCCATCTCCCACAAGACCATCTCCCGGAAGCACATGACCATCAAAATCGAGCCGGTAGCCGATGGCCGCAGCGTACGTCGAGGCATGCCTGCGCACGCGCGTCGTAGCCAGTCACTCACAGAGTTCAATAGCAAAGTATCTCGAAGCGATCCACTGTAACGATCGAAGATCTCGCGACGAAGACGGGCACAACGATCGACGGCGAGAAGTACAAGGGAGACAAGCATGTCGTCTCCAACAATGTCGCGGAGATCAAGCTGGGAGGCTGCCCTGACATTTTCCGGTAGGGCCCCGCTCAGCTGCCGGACAAGGAACAGAACGTTGCTGACGGCACGGAAACAGGCTCTCGTGGCACCCTGTTGTGCTGAGCTTCAGCTTCACGAGCCGCGAAATGCGAGAAGACCCAGCCCGCCGACTCCGCGACATGCTCGAACAGCTCGACATCAAATTCACATTTGACTACAACATCCAACACACGACACATGTGGTGGCGAAGAAGAGGAATACGTCCAAGGGGCTGCAGGCGCTCATCAACGGCCGGTACATCGTCACCGACTCGTTCGTCGACGCCATCGTGGCGGCTGCGCTGCCGCCCGACGGGGCCGAAGCAACAGAGGCGTCGGCTCTGGAGCAAGACTTTCAGGCCTCCTGGCCAAACCCTCTCGAGCACCTCCCGCCTCGCGGCGGCGAGCCTGTGGAACGGCCGCCGGACGCGTATGCTCCGGATGAAGCGCGGAAAGAGATTTTTGAGGGTTACACATTCATCTTCTACGACAGAAACCAGTATGACAATCTCCTGGCGCCGATCACCAATGGCGGCGGCAAGGCGCTGCACACCGAGGTCACCCCCGAAAAGACAACCGTGGACGACTTTGTGCTGTTTGTCAAGACGGAGGCGGGCGAGAAGGGCCTTGGGTCTTTCGAGGACGGGAGCGAAGGACGCGGCGTGGTCGTCGTCCGCTTCACCCCTGATAAGGGTGACCACACTGAATGGTACGCGTCGTTTTTCTATGAGACATCGCTTCGGCTGGACCACCGCCCCATTGAACAAAATGAGTTTCTCGAGGCTATCCTCGCCAAGGATGCCAGCATATTACGGAGGCCTCTGCAGACCGAAACAGTCCAGGACAGCCCGCCTAGAGCAGCGCGGAACCAAGCAGCGACCAAAGGCGGCGATGCCATGGAGACGGATCCTGCGCCAGCCCCAGATGCGCCATCACAGGACATCTCGGAGTCTTCGATACCTGGCCCACGACGTGGCCGCACGAGACGACAAGCGACGAGACGGTTTGCAGGGTTCGATGATGACTCTGACGACGACGATAAGGGCAATGTGCCACAGGCTTCCATGCCGAACACACGAGCCAGCGGGCCTGCCGAGGAAGCAGAAGACGAAGACGAAGAAGAAGGTCTTTTCGTGTCCCAAGACCGCCGGGAAGAAGCGCCCGCCACCAGATCCCAGCGCAAGCGGCCAGCGCCCGACTCAGCAGACCTCATGGACGGCCTCATCCCCACAGCAGCAGCCGCCAAGCGCCGGCGCATCGAAGCCGGCGAGGACCCGATCCGGCGGCAGTCGCCCGACGAACCCGAGGAGCCAGCGCAGCCAAAGCCGGCGCCGAAAAAGGTCAAGAGGGAGATCGACGTCCTGGAGGAAGCACGCAAGCGTCGCGAGGAAATGGAGGCCCGCGCCAAAGCGGAGCGCGACGACCTCGCCAATGTGCCCTCGGACATTGATCTCGACGCCATCCGCCGCCTCCACATCGTGGAAGAGATGGAACTGCGGAAACCGGGTGGGGACGCACGCGCGAGCAGGACATTGCCGACGGACGGTGGGACCCGCGCTGGAACCGGGCGGCGCAACTTTCAAGCGGTTCCAGAAAACGAGGCGCCGCGCAGGGCAGGGCGGTCATGAAAGGTCATTGTGCAGGTGTCGGAAGGTGAAAGAAGAAAGGACTTCGGCATCGGGGACGACTACTGGCTCGAGGATGACACGCAGCAGAAGAAGAAGAGCGTCGGCAGCCAGTCGCAGGAGGGCCAAGTCCTGAGCCCCTCCTCGAGAGGCGGACCGGCTCGCTGAGGGGCGCGGGCAACGCAGATTTTGCTGTCGGACGACAGCGATGAAGAAGAGGCCATCGAGGAGACGCTGGCTGAGGGCTGCGCCGGTGACGCGCATCAGGGGCACCAGAAGCACGGCGACCGAGTCGCTGAGTACGGGGCCGACGTCGAGCCGCAGCCAGGCGACTGGGCGTACGACTCAAGGGAAGAGGCCTGCCGCGGAGGCGTCGAGTGAACCGCCGGCCAAGAGGCCACGGCCTGTGCGACAGATTGTCGAGGTTCGCGATAGCGACGAGAGCGACGACGAGTTGAAGTTTAAGTTTGGCCGACGGCGGTAGGGGCATAACTGCGTGGTGTATGCTGGACCTTCTTCCACGCGTCTATTCGGGTATCTCTCTATAGTCCGCCTAATGAAGTCATGAAAGCCGGGGGCGTCTCTCTTGCCCACTGTCTGTCTTACGTATGTTCACAACGAAAACGCTTCCACCACGCCAAACGTGTCAGTGTGACTTGGTTCACATGCAACACTCAGTCCATCTGGTCCATCTCGCTCTCCTTCTCAGCCTCCTCTTCCGGCACCAGCACGCCCACAAGACAAGCCGACAGCATCGTCTCGTAATTGACCCAAGGATGAACTTCTCCGAACAGCTTCGTCGCCTCCCTGCCGGCTCCACGCATCAGCTCCGGCACGCCGCCGGGGTGATACGCGGCGTAGGGCGTCACGTTGTAGACCCGTCCGCCGAGGGCCATCCACGCGTCTTTGCCCTTGCGGCCCGTCTGCTTCTTCAACATGGACGGCGTCACCTTGAGGTAGGGCGTGTTGGCGGGCAGGTTGCGCAGGTCGCAGGCCGGGCCGGAGATGCGGGCCCAGTCGAGCGGGGAGTGGCCCGGCGTCAGGAGGACCTTGCGCGAGGGCTTCTGGGGCGCCTGGGAGTGTGTCGGTGGGGGGCGCGAGCGAGGACGAGGGGCCGGGGCCGCGGTTGGGGGTCGGCCCGCGGGCGCGTTGGGGGGAGTTGGCGCCGAGGAAGAGGAGGACGATGAGAGGGGGTTGAGGCGGGGTGGGATGGCGCGCGAGGGGCCGGTGGTGGTGGCATC